TGAGGGACCCCAAGCCTCCAGGCCAGCTCTCTGAGAGGGGTGTGGTGACATGAACAGGGGAAATGCCAGGCTTGGGAAGGGTGGTGACAGAAGTGTTCACTACTTTTCTCACCACTCTGACAGAATATCTGATATAAGCAACCTGAAAGCTGAAAGATTTCTCTCCGTTCACTGTTTCATCGCAGGGAAGGCATGAGGACATTCAGAGTGGCAGCAGGGCCATGAGGTGGCTTGCTCAGATTTCAGTGGCTGACCAGGAAGCAGAGAGCCCCAGGCCAGAAGCACCTGACTGATCTGCATGGCCCTCTCCCCAGGGTCTCACTTCTCCAACTAGATTCCACCTCTTCAAGTCCCACAACCGCTTCAAAGTCCCACAACCTCCCAAAGCAGTGCCACACCTACAGACCAAGAGCTCAACACATGAATCTGCTGAGTACACCCCATGTTCAAAGTACAGTGGGGTTGGATGCTTAGCATCTCACAGCCTGGAAGCTGCCCTCATGCACAGCCTGCCTCTATGAGGAGCTACAGCCTCCGAGGCTGGCTCACTGGCTGCTGCAGGAGACACGCCCTGATGCACTTGCTGCTGTCCAAAACCATATATTACTTCCTCAGAACTTCTAAGGCACACAGGGGTAAGGCGGCAGTGGGCTCTTCAGTTAAACCACTATCATAGTTAGCTTCAGCTGTCAGTTTGAAACAAACCTAGAGTCACCTGGGAAAGGGGACACCTCACCTGAGGAATTGTGTCTATCACACTGCACTGTAGGCATGTTTGTACAACATTTTTTTTTTGTTTTGTTTTGTTTTGTTTTGATTGATTGATGCAAGAAGGCCTAGGCCACTGTGGGCTGTGCTACTCTGGGCAGGTAGGCCTAAGCTTTATCAGAAGGTAACTGAAATATGGGCTTGGGTGTAAGGCAGGAAGCAGTGCACCTCTGTGGTCTCTGCTTTACTTCCTGCCTCCAGGTTCCTTACTGTGCCTCTGTCCTGACTTCCTTTGATGATGATGTAATAAGTCCTTTCCTTCCCAAGCTGTTTTTTGTCATGGTGTTGTATTCCAGTAACAGAAAGCAAACTATGACAATATCCTAGAAGAAAATAATACAATCACCTTGAGCCTGTTTCTGCGGCAGAGTCACTAAACACACAGGAAAAGGGCTACCCAGAAACAGGGGTTACACACACACACACACAAAAGAGAATCAAGACCACCCACAAGAGGAAACAGGGTGAATAATTCCTCCAGTAAGGTTACAAAACTCCAGAAGATGAAGCCTAGCTAGCAAGCAGGTTAGATTGTTGGGAGATCTTGAAGGTTCTACTTACTTTTGGTTCTGGTCTAATCTCTCTGTGCACTGCCCAGCAGGACATGAAAAGCCCCCACTGCCATGGACCAGCCTCTCCTCTCCATGCCTTCCCCATCATGATTCACACTTGTGCTCTCTGGAGCTGTGATCCACAGTAAACCCATTCCCCTTAAACTGCACTGTCACAGGAGAGAGGAAGGTTAAGCCAGTTAAGCTTAGCATGGAAGCCAACATTCCTCTTCTTCACCATGGAACCTTCCCCAGCCAACCCCAAGGCTGGAAAGACCTTCACCATTCACAGATGAGCCTAACATACTGAAATACTTAGTACTTCCAGAAATGCCTGGGCAATGGAGAGACAGACTGGCAAGGTGAATTTATTAAACAATGAATACTTACAAAGTGGAAGTATCAGCTACTGGAATTAGCTGAGTTGCTGATATATCAGGTAAAGTATCAGTTTTCAGGACATGACAACCCCAGAAGCTGAGAGGTCATGGTAGAGAATTCAGGGACAGAGGAATTTCCATGGGGTAGACTTGCAGCAATGGTGCTGAGAAGACAAGGATTCCAGATAGACAACTGGAAATTCTGAAGACAGAGCAGGGATGGGGTGTGATCCAATGAGGCCAGACACTGGCAGCAGGAAAGGCAGACTGGTCAGACACAGGAGGTAACCTGCGGCCTGTTGTAAAACCAGGTGATCACACAGGCAAGACAACTAAGCTGGGCCCTGGGGAGTGGTCATACAGTTGGGGCTCAGAGCTTATCTTCTGTGCTATTTAACTGTAGAATAGTCCCAGACATATAGCTTCAGGAAGCAAGTTCTCTAGTCATTAATTTGAATAAACTGTAAACAAGTGAGAAGTGACCCTTGGTGCCATCTCTGCCTCTTGAGCATAAACGCTTTTTAGCAAGTTTACACATTCCTTTGCCTCTGTCCCCTGGAACTGTTAATGTTAATCACTCTTGTCTTGGCTGCTCAGTATCATTTGACCTAATAATGGTGAGAGCTCTGGGCAACATCTTCAAGGTTAGCATGCTTGCTAATCATGTCAAAAGAAGTCCTTGGCTGCTGTTTTAGTTGAGTGACAGGTGTGGGCAACTCTTCCTTGCATTTCTGTGTAACTGAAATATGTCCACAGAAGACCAAGACTGTGCACATCATCTAGCACAGGTGTGGTAGCATACATTTCTTCAATGTCTCTTGACAGGAAGGGACACAGTTGTGCTGCCAGAAAATGTAGGGGGACACGAGGTGAAGACAGTCTAGCACTTGGCAGCTGCAGACAAAGCTCACCAGCTCAAAGTGTGGCCAGGCCCTTCACTACTGTGGGGTGGCAACCAGATGCTCGGATTCTGGCCAAGTTAGGTTCCTTCCACTGCCACTCAGAGTAGCCCTTAACAATCCGCCAACATTCTCTGGCCTCAAGCTTTTCCTCTAAGAAACATCCTACCATGTCAGTCTCTACAACCTGTTGGAATTAAGCCAGCAGGCCTCCCCATTCAACTCCATGGCTTTCCACTTGCACTGACCTTCACCTTTGCCAAACTGGTAGACAGGTGCTGAGCCCCAACTCAATATATAGGAACAACTGCAAGTCAGACCTTAGCCAGAGTGAGTGATGTCCCTAAAGGAGCCTTGTGATTTGCCCAGTCTCCTCACAGTTTGGAGTTAGACATCCTGAGCCCCAGGTGGCCTGCAGACCTGGAGACTAGCCCAGCAGAGGCCACTGTTGGGACAGGACATGCTAAAAGCCCACAGCTGTACTGGTCAAGAAACCAAAAGGCTTCCAGCAGGCAGAGCACCATTTACTAATTCCGACCAGGATTTATGTGTGCTGCGGTGGGCTTGGTTTCATCTTTAGATTGAACTGTTACAGCTGTCAGCACTGGCACCTGTTTGTTTCCTCCCAAAGCAACATATTCCTGAGGAGGAAATGGTTCCCCTCCAGTTCTGCCTCCTAGTTTCAAGTATCATATGCTGCCAAATGAAGAAAAGTGCCTTTCCAGGTCATCCAGGGAATACCTGCAGATGGTTCTCAGGCTTAGACACTGGCCTGGAATTTTGCAATCATGTATGTATTCTCTTTATACTCTGTAAGTTCTTCTTTCTACCCAAAAGCCACTATCTGCTTTATGAGCTAATGAGCAAATCTCAAAAACACACAGAAGAGGCTTCATTGTCATCCATATGAAAACATGCCAGTGTGACATGCAGCCATTCATCTGAACATTTCACTCATGGCACAAGGAGAGGCAGCTTGTATGAAACTGTGCTTTGCAGTACAGGCTGGGCAGGGCTATCTGCTGGATCTCAGGAGCCTGTTCCTACACAAGGAAATGGAAAATCCAAGTCCAAGATTGGAAGGAGTTCTATACATTAAACAAGCACTAGGTGGGCAGTTCAAACTTGTAGGAAACACTGAAGAAACAAGAGGCAGGGCCAACCTTGTGATCTAGTGGGAAGAAAGAAAGGAAGCAGGAAAGGAAGAAAAAAAGAAAGAAAAAAAGGAAAGAAAAGAAAGAAAGAAAGGAAGAAAGGAAAGAAAAGAAAGCAGCAGCACAAAACTAGAAAGGAGAAAATCAACCCACTTTTGTTTGCTTGGCAGTAGAGTTCTCATCCCTCAACCTTCCCCTCTGTAAGAACTCTCCTCCAGAGACCTACAGTGAAAGTTTCTGTTCTTTCTAGTCCCTTCCATTGCTGTCTGAAAGCTGGGGACCAGCCAGGAAGAGGCTGTCTCTGGAAAAGTGACCTGTGACTACAGAAGGCTAGTTCTTGCCCATACACTTAACCCAACACTATGTCTATTTCTTTGGATGCCAGCTTTACCTGCCACTTTGTCCCCTCTGGCTGGTTACACCAGCTCTGCAGGACCATAAATGTAGAGCTCTGCATTCCATATATCTTTCCTGTCCCAGGATAAGCACAGCTTGATGGAGAGATGACATTTGTTGGCCTGAACTGAAATTGCTTGGAAGAGTTTGGGAATCCTCGTGTTCGCTGAAATTCCTGTTTTTACCACCATTTCCCAGGTAACCCACTCTCCTTTTCTACCATAAAGAAACCTCCACAGATAGACCTAGTACAAAATAGGAGGCATTACTTTAATCAAAACTGGAGCTGGATTAATCTGAGAATTATCACTGGAGAGAGATATGCAAATAAGAGACATTTTGTTTGCCATACGTGCTACCTGACACACACCTGAGTAGCTTGTTGCACAGAGGGGATTCAGGGATAGCACGGGTGTTCAGATGGGACAACCACACAAGGACAACATAGGTGCAAAGGCAAGTTGGAAAATACAGGGAGTACATACCCCTTTCCAACTCCTTGAATGTGCAAACTACGGAAATACATCACAAGCAAGCCAATCATGCTAGGGTGCAGAGGTGGGCATGAATGAGCTCAATGCTCCAGGATTCTTCCTATGCAGCTGAGCACTTTACAAGAGGAGAAAGTGCAGCCAGGAGATGTGCTGCTTGCCTTGGTGGGATCTGTTTACACAACATGGGGAATGAAGGTCTGCTATGCAGGCCTGTGCTGACTACAGCCAGAACTCAGAACCCCAAATGCTACCTATCTTTGACCCAACCCAGCCAAATAGGAATAGTTGATTTACTTACATATAACCCAACGTCAAACTCCCAAGTCAAAAGAAAACGTTGGGCCAACACGAAGCTTACCCCGCCTCAGGAGTTCTAGAAGCAGAAGTGCTTTGGTGCTCCCCGTGGCCTCTTGGCTTGCTGCTGCGGCTTTCAGAGCTGCTCATGTGTCCTGTCCCCAGGGACTTCCTACTGTGCACATGGGCTGTAGAGCCATCCTCATAGCCGTTCAACAGGCCTTGGCCAGCTCGTGCTCTTGTCCTTGTTGGCCGGCAGCCCTCTGATTTGTCCTCCCGTGGTGCTGGGACATCTCGAGCTGGTTTGTATCCATGAGAAATGAGGAGATCTTCCACACTGTACATGGTGCAGTGTCATCAAAGCTCACAGGTTTGAACCACCATGTTGGCAGGACCCATCACTGAAAGGATAACAAAGAGCTGCATTTATGAATACCCACAGCAAAGTACACCAGGCCTGCTAGGAGTGCATATCTAGACCTTGTCTGAAAAAGATGGGATCTCACTACGTAGCTTACACTGTAAACTTGCAATCCTGCTGTCCCAAGTTAACAAGCACTGGAATCACTGGTTTGTGTTACTAGACCAGCCAGGGATCATGTAAAACTTCTGTCAATCAAATATCTTCAGTTTTTTTGTACAAAGTTTTTCATCTCTTAGCCAAGGGTGGCCACAGGCAAATATGGCCTGGCGATCAGCATACTTAGAGGCTTATCCCATGTTAATAACTAGAGGCAAGAAAATCAAAAGAGGGAATGAAGACATCCAATAAGGGCAAAGCAGATGGGGCTGCCAGTCAGAGACTGGGTGTAGTCCTGGCCTGGGCACCATGAGTTAGGTAGTTCCAGCCCCAGCCACTCCATGGGTGAAGGGAAAGTCATTGTGGCCACAAAAATAATTGTCAAGAAATGTATGCTGGCCAGCACGCAAGTGTGATGAAGCTGCCTGAATTTCCTGCCAGTGGGAATTTTCCCTGGGTGCCTGCACTGTTCTGCTGACCACTGGGTGCCTGTCACCTATTAGAACATACAACCAGAGACATCTCTGCAGTCAGCTTGGGAGTGACCATACTCTGTAGGTCAGTAATTATGTAATGTGTCCCTCTAGATTTTGGAAGGTTGGAAAGCTCTGGAAGTCAGTGACATCACAGAAAACCCTCTGCCACCATTCTTGACTACTTTGTGACTTTTGGGGAGTCACACAATAGTGTGACTTTCAGGGAGTCACAGATGGACCATTTAGTTACACTGCTAAGAAGGATCCGAGGAACAAGCACTTGTTTAAGGTAGCTTAGCAAGGCCCTTGGCTATGTGGATGTGGAAGAAGGCTTTTTAGCTGGGGTTTCTGCTGGCTATATCCCCAGCCTCTAGCAATTGGTATGCTTTCTGGAAATACTTGTGGAATGGATGCATGAATGAGAAAAGGGGCACCAGGGCAATGTTTTGGAGAATAGCTAGGAGTTGGATAGATACACTGTATCTGTCAATATAGAAGTGGGAAACTTGCCACTTTAAACAGGCTCTGGGTATGATGACATCAGGAGTAAAACCATGGCTTTGAGACAGAATCCTGGTGACCCAGGGTAAAGGGCCCAAACCCACGAGTCTGTGTCTTCATAGAGAGATGGTTGAATACAATCCTTCCTCACAAAATGCCCATGTGGGTCACTGTCCCACTGGGGTTTTGTAAGCCAGCCCAGCATCCTTATTTGCCCATGATTATAATCAGAAAATCCTTTAATAACACAACAATCTACTAAAGCATACATGTCTTTCAGGGGAGAAACAGCTTGTCAAAGCCAACAGATAACTGAGGTCAAGGGATCGCTGATGTTCAAAGTCTTACCTGTTTTCCTCTCTAGGCCCTGCAACTCACAGGAGAAGGAGGGGAGTACAGACTTCAGTGCTCAGGGCTGAGCTGCCTTACCCATAACCCCAAAGGCACCACTGCCTTGCAGGCTCATGGAAGACTTCTGCCCCTTAGGTATATTCTTCACCTTGACCCAGCTCAGCTTGACCTCTGCCTCATGTGAGGCCCTGACCCCTCCCCAACAGGTTCCTGCACACTCTTACTGTAACACTGGCTGTGTTTGGCTTGCTTCTTTGATGCCATTACATTTAAAATGGAATGGGCTGCATCAAGAGGTAACAGTCCTTTACTACAGACATATTAACTGCAGTGTGCACCAAGATGAACCAATGAGGCACCAAAGAGGGGGCTCAGGCACCCAAAGAGAGTTTGTTTCCTTCCAATTCTAAGATACCAACATTGTAGGTCAATGGTGATTAATCCACACACCATCCCAGAGGTGGTTATAAAGACAAACACATTACAAAAGATAACACACACCAGGGTTGTCACTGTCATAAAAGTTGTTCTGTAACCTGGAAAGATAAGAGTATAGCTAAAACAACACAGGGTCAGGCATCATTCGGGGTCTGGTGAGCTACTCTTTTCAGGTGTGGTCCCTGAAGTGGGCGAGGAACCACCCCAAGCTTCCCTACATGTAAAATGGTAGGAAACAACCTTCCCAGAGCACTGCACTGTTCTGAAATCCCAGTAAGAACATGTACACATTGCTATGCAAACACATGACAGATTATTATGCAACACTGACAATTTTTACCACGTGCTTTTGCCATTTTCTGTTTCCTTTGGTATCATGTGGTGTGTTGCTCCTGGTTTCCAGCCTCATACTCGCTTGGTATTACCACATACTGGATACTCAGCCTCTCTAAGTAACCAAGAATGGAATATTACTTTGTAAGAACAAAACATTAAGACACATTTCCTTGGAGCAAGTATGCACCAAGCTCTGAATGAACACATTCTTCTTCTGTCTTGCTGGCAATTAAAACTAGGCATATGCATGTCAGAGACATGATAGGAGCCTGTCACCTCTTCCATGGGGTTGAAATACACAGAAGACAGGATGACTGAAAAGAGACCCTATCCAATCTCAAGGAATTGACAAAGCCTCTGGAAGACTTTTAGTCAAACAAAGCCTCTGCCCAGGTTGCACTCTATTAGTTGCAGACAGTTCATTCAATAAACTTCTTCCTGATCAGACATGGTGGATTATTTCTCAAAATTCAGGAAGTGGTGGCAGGAGAACTGTCCCAAGTGTAAGGCCAATCTGAGATATCTAGTAAATTCCAGGTCAGCTGAGATACAATGTTGAGTCCCTCTCTCACGCTTAAAAAAAAAAAAAAAAATTGGGGGGAGATCATGTTAGGATGTGAGTGTGAGATATCATCCACAGGCCCATGTGTTTGAGATACTTGGTCCTATTTTGAGAGGTTGTGGACATGTAATGAAAAAGAATAGTCTGGGGGGTGAGCCCAGTGGGTCAGTGGGTTTTAGCCCCACCCCAGTCTCAGTCTGAGTTCTATGCTCCCTGACCCTCTATGAAATGAACAAGCAGCACCACTAATCTGTGGCTACACACCTTCACTGCCATGATGGAATGTGCCCCCTCAAGCATGTGTCAAAATGGAAGTCATTCTTTGTTAAATATTTGGTCACAGCAAGGAGACTAGTAACTAATACATTTGACTACATTTATTTTCTTGAATTAAATGCTGATAAGGAAATACCTAAGAAAGTGATCAAGAGACAGTTACTATTCCATTTTTTAAGAATGATGGTCATGACCTACTAAATAACTTCACGAAGCACTAGTTTGAATAGCGCCAATGTAGATGGTCAGGGTGTGAGACAAGATGACCTCTAACACATGCTCAATAATGCTATTACTCCCTGAGAAATGCCTTGGTGTAAGTAGTCCCTTGTTCTCCTCTCAACTGCAAATCAAGCTGTTCTACCTATCCGAACTTGGCTTTTCCAGGAAGATCATAGCCACCCTGGTCTTCAGAACACCACTGGAAACCATTCTCCTTAAGAACAATACCATCACTTCCTTTCTCCCTCAATCTATGTGTCAGCACTGAGTCACAGTCAGTATGCAAAAGGACCCATAGGGCCTGGGAAGTGAAGTGCATCTTCCATGCTGCCACTCGCACTCTGTGTCTCTGGCTTGAGAAAGCCACCAAGAAGCTATGTACATGTGTCTGCATCTATTGGGCTTTCCTGTTGTCTGGACATTCCTCAAGGGACTGCTCCACCATGGGAGCTAACCATCTATTGAAGGGACTAGTGTCCCAGGGGACTCTGTTGTCAGAACAAGTGTCTAGGTATCTCTTGTCTTAGAAACAAGCTATTACAGATGTTCTGCTCTAGCAGCTAAGGTGAAAGGCAGATGTGACATGTGTCTGTGACATCATGAAGACCCATGTTTTCATGTATAAGGGTGCCTTAGTATCAAGCCCCATTTTCTCACATCCTAAGAGAGGATGGACATCCCTAGGAGCTAGGAGGATACTGACTTAAACACTGCTTGTAGCCTCTCTGGCATCCCTGTGTAGATGAGAGGAATCAAGGGTGAAGTCAGCAGGCTGGCTCAGAGAATACCTCATGGGGCCTCCAGCCACATGCTCTTCCCTAGTTTGGTCGTGTACAACTTGGACTAAGCCATACAAGCCTTTTCATTAAAACAAACTTTGTAAGGTAGCATACACAAAGAAGAAAAGCTGGGTCTATAAAAGTTCCCTTTTCTTGCATAAAAGATTTTATACAGGCTAAGAATAGTTAAGATAATGCAAACTTGGTGGATTTCATTCCTGTCTTCTAAACAACTAAAGGCAGGTATAGTGGACTGGAGTACTATGTGCTCTTCCAGAGGACCTGACACTGTACACACATGGTAGAGACATACATGTACAAACACTCATGCATAGAAAATAGAACATTTAAAAACTTAAAAAAAAATAAAGGCAGATGTGAAGTTCCCAACACTTGGGAAACAGAGTCAAGAGCATCTGTGAATGTTCAAGGCCAACTAGAGCAAGACCTTGTGTCAGAGAGAGAGAGAGAGAGAGAGAGAGAGAGAGAGAGAGAGAGAGAGAGAGAGAGAGAGAATGAACAAGCAAGAGAGAGTGAACAAGTAAAAAAATAGAAAACAAACATTAAATATCATTGAAACACACACACACGCACACACAGAAACCAAACACAACACTGAGTGGGACAGGTTAGGTTTAGCCCCAAACACCCTTTGTTTACCTCTATTGGACTGGTTTAAATTATGCTTTCATGAGATGGGACCAAAAAAGAAATGCTTATTAGCATGCAGGCTCTCATTTAGGTGGAGAAGGGAGGTAAATTAGAGAAGCAAGAAGGCTGAGGAGCCAGGTTTTTCTTTCTGGGCTTTGTGACTCACTCACAAGATCTAGTTTATATCTTACCGTCCTACTCTTCCCCTTGGGAAAGTCTGTGACCAGCTATGAACTGTTGGAAACACCCTCCAGTAAGTCCACAACACACTTCTATTCATAGTTAATTTACTCTTTACTCTCCTTGCTCTTTCACCCCATTAAACCTCTCTACAAATCACAAGAAAACCTTGCTTTATGGGGCTGGACAAATGGCTCAATAGTCAAGTTTGCTTCCTGGCACCCTTATTAGGAGGCTGCCAGGAACCCCAGCTCCAGATAATCTGAAACTACCTTTTAGACACATGTGCACATGCATGTGCACACACACACACACACACACACACGTTTAAAAATAATAAATCTTTAGAGAGATGGCTCACTGGTTAGTAGCACTTCCAGAAGACCCCAGTTCAGTTCCTAGTACCCATGTCGGTGGCTCACAACTGTAACTGCAGCTCTAGGGCATCTAACACCTCTGGCCTCCAAGGGTAACTGCAGTCACATGTGCATACCCATACATGCATACAAACATGCATATACATAGTTTAAAAACAAAGATGCTTTTAAATAGTAATAAATCAAGAGAGAGAGAGTGAGTGAGAGGGAGAGAGAGAGAGAGAGAGAGAGAGAGAGAGAGAGAGAGAGAGAGAGAGAGAGTTGCATTGTTAAATAAGTGTGCAATCTCAGGCACCTGAGAGATAGAATGGACAGCCCATATGTGTCTGCCTCATGAGAGGCTGCATCAACTTATTTCCCTTTGGATCCCCAGGAAGGACATGATATAGACATGGCTATTCCCACTTCACAGATGAGGGTACTGAGGTTGCACATCAAGTCTGCACAAATTCTAAATGACAGCTGTTAGGTTTACCCAGGTCTGTTTAGGAAGTCAGTCCAGGACAACTAGTTTAGATCCCTCCATATATATCTCCCCGCTTCCCATTAACTAGTTTTCTGGTTTACTAGATAATGCATAAGCATAAACAAGAAAATAAAAAGATGTGGTGGTATCAAGCTTGCAACTATGTGTTTAAAAAGAACTCCCATTTTACTGTTTAGGATGAAGGTGGATTATCAATCTTTACACAAGTCATTCTTCACATGACTGACTGCCTCCATGGTAATACTAGTGTTAATTTTAAGATAAGCAACAAAGTGAGTTACTTAGAAATATACCATTCACTGTATGGTTACCTTCACAGGCCACTTAAGTCACTGTGGTTTCAGATTCTTCCTAAGTAAGCCTGTATGTAAAACCAAGAAACAGACAAACCAGGAGGACATCCACACCAAATGAGAAAGGGGCAACAAGAAAACAACTGCCTAGAATCATCCACTGTTGCCTACAAAACTGACAAGCTGCACTCTGCGTAGCCACTGGGGAAAGTGGGCTTGCGGAAGTATAAGATTGCAGTGTGATGACCGTGAGGGGAAAGGAAAGGGACAAGTGGTGAGGAAGAACACAAGAGTTAGAAACCCCTTTGACTATAACATGCAGGGAACCGGCAGAGAAGAGGATGGAAAAGAGGAAACTGAGTACGTTTGTGGAAAAAAGAAACAAATGCCAGTATTTTGGACTTAGTATAATTAAGACAACAGTCAGCCATTTGTAGAAAGTACTTTTTGTTTCAGAAGACAATAATTTGACTTTAATGCAATCCACTGGTGTTTGGCTAGTTTTATGTCAACTTGGCACAAGCTAACGTCATTAGAAGGGTGCAAGCCTCAATTGAGAAAAGCCTCCACAAGGCTGGGTTGTGGGTTAACCTGAAGGGCATTTTTCTTAATTGGTGATTGATGGGGGGGAGAGAGCCTGGCCCATTGTGGATTGGGCCACCCCTGGACTGGTGGTCCTGGGGCCAGGATGTAAGATAAATAGATGAATTAAAAAAAGAAAAGAAAAAAAAAAAAAAAAAGCAGCACCCCTTCATGGTCTCTGCATCAGCCCCTCCCTCCAGGTCCAGCCCTACTTGAGTTCCTGCCCTCACTGCTTTTGATGATGAATTGTGAATGAAGTAAACCCTCTCCTCCCCAAGTTACTTTTGGTCATGGTATTTCATCCCAGCAATAGTAACCCTAACTATTCCCCAAAGTTTCCTTTTCCTCCCAAATCACTATGAATGATCATTTTTTAAATGAAGAACCAGTTTTTGTCCCTTCCAAAGAACGCTAGGGAAGCCACTTAGACCAGTCTTTCTCAACCTATGGGTCACATCCTCTATTGGTGTTGCATATCAGATATTTACATTACAGTTCATGACAGCAAAAACATTATGAAGTAGCAATAAAAATAATTTTATAATTGGGGGTCATCACAGTGTGCAGAACTGTGTTAGTGGGTGGCAGCATTAGGAGGGTTGAGAACCACTGACTTAGACCAACTTATTGTGACAGATTTCTGAGTTCTATTTCACCTGCGTCTTTAATATTCAAATGACTGAATTATAAAATAGGAAGCTGCT